AAACACGTGTCTGTACGATCAAGATACAGCGGTAACCAACACACACCTAGATAAAGGTAGCCTAGACCCTTATAGTAACATAATTAAAGAAAATTAATCAAACATTATACATCTTACCATTAATGATAATAGACACACGAGAGAGAGTCTTTGAATTAATTAGGACCTTGCGCTCTGCTATACACAGGTGCTACAAGACAAAAACGTGGTCCAATCTAACCCACACATCACACACTAGACAACAAGACACAAGAACAAGCAGAACACAGCAACAACAGAACCAACACACATACAACACACAATATAGTTACAAGTTACCGAGTACACCACAAACATCAACAACCAAAACAATCACACAATAAAAGCCAGCATTGAAGAGCGTGAGTGTATTGACAACAACATCAACATACACACACACATCACGTACCATCTGACATAGGCACTGTGAGGAGTGAGTTTCCAGAGGGAGGGCAGCCGACGGAGAAGGCTCTTGTCCCCCACAACAGTGAAACATGGTTGCGGGTGGGGATGGATAGGAGGTTTGACAACAGAAAAAACAAGGCAGCAGAACAAATATGGTGCACACACAGCAGAGACACTCTGAGGTGGGTGAAGGTTGGTGTGTGCAGACAGGACAGAACGTGGGGAACAGAGAGTGTGGTGGGTGGCAGCAGGTCCTGTGAGGATGGGGGGGAAGGGCTGTGGTGGTGCAGCAGGCATCTGTGAGGCAGCGGAAGCGGGTGTGGTGGTGCAGAGGTCTGTGAGGTGGCGGGGGAAGGGGCTGTGGTGGTGCAGCAGGTCTGTGAGGTAGGGGGAAGGGGTGTGTGGGTGCAGCAGGTCTGTGAGGTAGGGGGAAGGGGCTTGGGTGCGTGCAGCAGGCTCTGTGAGGTCGGGAAGAGGGCGTGTGGATGGTGCCAGCAGGCTGTGAGGATGGAGGAAAGGGGTGTGGTGGTGCAGACAGGTGCTGTGAGGTGGGGAAGGTGTGGTGGTGGTGCAGCAGGCGGTGGGGAGGAGGTGTGGTGGTGCGGCAAGCAGTCTGTGAGGTACAGGGCGGGGGCGTGTGGTGGTGCAGCAGGTCTGTGAGGGTAGGGGGAAGGGGTGTGGGTGTGCAGCAGTCTGTGAGTGAGGAGGAAGGGCTGGGTGGTGCAGCAGGTCCTGTGAGGTGGCGGGGGGTGTGGGTGGTGCCAGCAGGTTCTGTGAGGTAGGGGAAGGGGTGTGGGTGGTGCAGCAGGTCTGTGAGGGTAAGGGGGACAGGGGTGTGGTGGTCGCAGCAGGTCTGTGAGGTAGGGTAGGGGGGGGCCTGGTTGTTGAGGGCTTTGTAAGTAATGAGGAGGACTTTGAAGTGGATTCTTTGACGGACGGGGAGCCAGTGGAGGTTCTGGAGGATGGGAGTGATGTGGTCTCGGGAGCGGGTGTGGGTGAGGAGGCGGGCAGCAGAGTTCTGGATATGTTGGAGTTTGTTGAGGAGGTTGGATGGTATGCCAGTAGAGGATGCTATTGCAGTAGTCGAGTCTTGAAGTGATGAATGCATGAATCAGGGTTTCAGCAGCAGAGGAGGAGAGTGATGGGCGGAGACGGGCAATGTTTTTGAGGTGGAAAAAGGCGGTCCTGGTGATGTGATTTATGTGGTGGTTGAATTTGAGCTGACTGTCGAAAATGACTCCGAGGATGCGGATGTGAGGGGGGGGAGATAGAGTGTGGCTGTCAATGGTGAAGTTGAAATTCTGGATGTCTTTGATACGGGATGGGGGGCCGATGATGATGATGTCTGATTTGGCACTGTTCAGTTGGAGATAGTTTGTTTGCATCCATGCTTTTATTTCTGAGAGACAGTTGGTGAGAGTGGAGTGTGTTGTGGGGGTGATGGTTTTTGTTGAGATGTAAAGTTGGATGTCATCGGCGTAGCAGTGAAATTGAAGGTTGTGGCGACTAATTATTTTGCCAAGGAGGACAATGTAAAGGATGAAGAGGAGGGGGCCAAGCACCGAACCCTGGGGGACGCCTTGGGACAGAGGAGCAGTGGAAGAGGTGCAGTTGTTGATGTTGATAAACTGATGTCTGTCGGTGAGGTAGGATTTCAGCCAGGAGAGTGCAGTGTCAGTGATGTTGAGTGATGATTCGAGGAGGGACAGCAGGATGGTGTGGTTGATGGTGTTGAATGCTGCGGTGAGGTTGAGGAGGATGAGGATGTTCAGGTCGCCGGAGTCAGAGGAGAGGAGGAGGCATTGTAGTTAAAGGTCACCTTGTCAATGTTATTTTTGGGCAATAGCATAGGTCTCAGATGTCTGTGTTTTGCTCAAAATACCAAAAAGATCACCCACTCTAGCCATGCCTCATATCCCCCCGTTTCATCCCCCCTTACTAAAGCTCTGATTCAGGGTATAAAACTTTTTTTTTTTTTTTAAATTGAAAAGAAAAAAGAGGGGTTGGAGCTTATGCGGGACCCAGCAGATACTGTCTAAATGCTGCAGTGATTAAACGCCATATTATGTTCCAAACCACATCAAGGATTATTTCTGAAACAATATGGAGCTCAAATGCTTTCTCTCTCTTGGGTTTACCACAAGGGCAGTGACCTTTTATTTCCTGCTTCTTTTCACATACTCTCTCCAGTACAGGTTAGCTCTGAGTGTTAGCGATGCTTGCTAATGTAAACAAAGACCATATTATGTCCAAAACACGTCGGGCATTGTTTCTGATAGCCGTCATATTGGATGGCAAATCTGGATCAGCTCCGTTTTTAAAGATTTGCGCGCGGAGGAAAAGAGAGAGGGTTTTATTTTCTGACACTTTGTGAGTTCCCTGACACACCGGGGACACACAATTATGTATAAAAGACATCAAAAAGTGCATTTTGCATGATAGGTAACCTTTAAGTTAAGTCTCAGTAGTATAACATGGGATTTCAGAGTAGTTTTACACAACTGATTTGTTTTTTTTCTTTCAAACATTGTAGAAAGAACAACATTCCTGTCCCAAACAGCCGGAGAGAGAAGGGTTCAGCAGGTAGGGTGTGAGAGGTCACATGATCCAGTAGGTCAGCTAAGGGTGACTGGTCTTGTGAAGCTAAATACAGAATCTTGATAGAAGGAATTCTATTATTTTAGGTCTAGATCGGTTCAATCATTTTAAGGCACGCCAGCATCTTTCCAGCTGTATACGCCTGAAGTAACATCTTTAGGAAGGGCTACTACAGCCTATAATAAAAGTGATAGACAGCTAAGAGACTAACCACATTTGATAACATGAATAACTATCAATGACTAGACTATAACAATCTGTACAGTACATTTACAACAGACTGGTACATGTGTTTACCTACCAGCTACGTTTACAAGGATATCTATTTGGGGGGTTCTGATCTGGTTCTTTCACGTTTGCTTTACAGGCATTAATTCCCTCCAAACGTGATTTATATTGTTGAGGAAACAGGTGTCACTACAGTGCAGACACCGAAGCAGGTAGTGGCAGAGAAAGGGTGATATATTTTTAACCTCTGCTCAGGTTTAAACTTGAAAAAGTCCATTGGTCAGTTTACCCCCAGATGGCTCAATTTACCCCGTGACTCGGATCAATTTACCCCTTAGATTGTGCAAGTTAAGCAGACAGACCTTTTTTTGAGAAGTCATATTTTCATGGCCCTTTGTGATGGATGCATTATATTCATTTTGATTGACAGAACACTTCCGGAAGTAAAGGTTGTTGTTGTTGTCATTTTACTTCTATCTAATTGTTCCTTGCCTAGGATAACATAAGTAAACATTGGCTCATCTTACCCCACTCTCCCCTACTATTGGGTGCTGTATGTAATGTAAAATGTGATTTCCATTTGTAAGCCAAAGATACTTATTGTTGATGAACTATAAGTGAGGTTCAATGGTGAACAAAAACAATTACATGTAGTGCTGTTAAAAAATTAAATATGCAGGACTTGTAGCAGAGTATCTCTACAAGTATTACTACTTTTACTGAAGTAAAAGTTATGAGTACTTTGACCACCTCTTGTGCCACTTTAGGAAAGAGAAGATTTATATTCTTGTACTTTTTGATAAACCATATGAACTGTGTGGACTCACTCTTCGTCCTGCAGCTGCTCCTCATCCTCCTGGCTGTGTGTCTGGTTTCGTATGGGCGCCAGGCACTCGGTCTTGGTGTTGTAGTTGTGAAAGCACACGTTGAGCTTCTCATCAAACTCGTTGACCAGGTCCTCCATGGACTTGAAGCTCATCATCTCGGAGAAGTTCTCCAGCTCAGAAAAGTCCTCTCTGGTGATGGAGCTCAGCGGTATGGTGGTGGTGGAGGAGTAGGAGGACTGTTGGAGCGCCGGGTGGTCCAGCTCATCCATGTGACAGGGCCGGAGGTCCTCGAACTCCTCGTCCAAACACACGAGAGGGGCCTCCATGCTTCCTACAGGAAAGGCAAAGTCAGGATATAAGGGATAATAACAGTGAGGCATACTATTAAAGTACGCAATGACAAGGGATGCAAAGACTTAGTGAAGATAAGAACAAATGATGAAAGATAAAATATGAAAAAGTACAATAAGCACCAAAAAAAAGCAATGATAAGACAAGGTGAAAAATATTTGTATAAGTGTGTAAAAGTGGTTTTAAGTAAAGATTTAAAGAGGTCACTGAGTCTGTGTGCCCTATATTCCCAGGCAGGTCGTGATGATGGAAAAAGTAGGCTAGTTTTTAGATACAAGCCTAAAAACATAATTATACTATCTGTCTGAATTCATCTGTATTCACCCTCTGTTAAAATAACACAGCAAGGGAGCCACATCTAAATTGCTGGCTATTTCCCAGGCAGCACACAAACAGACTGGGCTGTGTTTTCACGTTCACAGTCTGCGGGTTAGGTACTCCATATATATTTTCTCATGGGTTTTCATGATATGTCCCCTTTAGGTCTTATCAGTGTTTCTCTGACAGGCAGGACCACTGCTGCAGTATTGTGTTTGAAACAAAAGACCAAATCAGACACATATGTCTGTACCTGTCTTCATCTGTTTCCCAGAAGGATTTATCTGGCCTCTCCTAAATCATGCCTGCCTCACCTCATGTGGAGTGGCACCATGTTGTCGAGACAAAGAGGAGATGGAGGTAAATCTGCCAGAAGGGGACCGGGACCCCCAGGGACCAGAACCAGTTGGCTCACTGGTAAACCTCAGTTAATGAAGAGCACCTTCTGGGATTCAACTGATGAGGTTTACCAGAATCTGGGCCATGAAACTAGGAACTGTCATAGAATATGATACATTACAGTAAGGCTATTGTTAATGCAGGTTTTCTTTAATGGATCTGATAATTACATAATTAAATGAACATTTATCTTTCACTTAATTGTATCATAAATTGAGTCAGATAATGATAATAGTGACACATTAGCTCTTTTGGGACTTTAGGAAAGGTACTTCGAAAAAAGGTACAAAATATATTTGGAAGAAGGTTATAAAGTAGTTTGATATGAAAATATGTTTTGTGTTAACTTTACCTGTCAAATAAGGCAGCAAAATCCACTGAAAAAGCTGAAACATTGAATCTAATTAAAAGTATTATTTCAACAGACTTCACATAAGTATTAGGTTAGTTGAAAGCAATAATATGAAGTTTAAATAGGTTACATTTAATAATATTGCTTTCAACTAACCTAACACAGTAGTGTGAAATCTTTTGACAAAATACATTTAATTAAAGTCAACGTTTCAGTTTCTTCTGTGAATAAACATTGGCACTTACTGACTAACTGGTGGTTATTGAAATGTTCACAGTGTGTTCAATAACTGACTGTTGGGAGGCCTTTTTCCTCTCTATTTACATTAAAGGTCTTTGCTGCATGTTGTCCTATGGAATATGTAATTGTTGGTTGAAAAATATAATGAAGGAATATAGAACTGTAACACTTGACACTGCATTACTGTAGGTCAAAAATGTACTAAATACCTTTTAATATTCAAATAAGTGGAGTAGGGAAAATGTTCTCCTAGAAATATCACCATCTCTATACAAATGTCCACAAAGTATATTCTCTTCCTCTGATTTCATACCAAATGCTGTTTGCCTTTCCAAATTGTCCAACTTCAACCTTTTACTGGGACATAATTATCACATGGGAATTCCAAAAGAACATTCATTGTTTCCAAACGTTCCCATGCCTAAATGAAGGTCTCAGTTCAGCATCCATAGAGTTCATATTAAGGTCATTTCACTTGATATGATTAGAGATTTCCCCATAGTAAATGGAGGAGATAATGTGATGAATCACTTCCACAGGCATTACTTTCTGAAACATCTGTAATGAATGGATGTGAACCTGCAACAGAAGCAGCAGTGGTGGAGCACTTCCTGCTGCAGTCAGAAGTTTTTAGAGGAGGTGAACCTCTGTCATGTTGTCTGACTGTCTGCAGTGTAATGACTGAGTGAGGCTTATATTTCACCCTCTGTTCTCCGCTGGACCGTGGCCTGGCCTAAGTGGGTGAGTGCAGAGGAGCCCATTTAAAAGCAGCTTGTGCAGCCTCTTCTTCCTCATCACACCATCAGCAAAGTGCTGCTCCATCCTCAGCCAGAAACCTCCCTGCCTCCTCTTTTTAAAATGCATCCACTCTGCTTTTGGCTCAACATTTGCTTCTAATTTCTCTGCTGAGAAAACGACTTCATCTAATATAAATCCTTGGAGCAGAGAAATGAATCACTCCTTCTGTGTGACAGTGACTGACAGCATGCGTCCATCAATAGATCCAATTAAGGTTATTTGGTCTACTCAAACGGAACAGTATCAGCTGACTCTAACCTTGCCACAGGTACTCCTGGAGGCATTGAAGCAGTGAATATCTAGCAGGGGGAAAATCACAAATCGTCACCTTTTTGGCCTAAGTCATATTTTGGAGAACATGTTTTTTTTGCCTAAATTATCTCTTCTTGATGCTGGCCACCTCTGGTAAAATTGCCTACATCCTTATTGAAAGGATAGTGCTGTTCCTACCCTGATAGTATAATGGCCTATGTCAAGAGTGTGACTTAGGCCATATATTTAAAAAAGATAATGGCTTAAGTCACATTGTCTTGTGACTTAGGCCATTTGACAAGCCTTACAAAATGGCTGCTTCAAGAAGAAAGAAAAACTAACAGATAAATTAAGTTATTTTCATGGTTCAGGGCTTGTCCCCTGTTGGTAAGTGATGTTTACTATACTATAGGCTAGGCTATAAGTGTTGTGTAGTTATTTAGTCTTTTAATTTCACAATGTATAGTTACTGTAGCTAATGTAGCTACTGTAGGTACTATAGTTACTGTAGCTACTGTAGCTCCATGAAGCATGCACACATTTCCCTCTAATCTAAAAACTAATCTTTCAAAAGTAACGGTTACAATTACAGAACAGGCTATCAAGTGTGCAGGTGTGCGTCATATGAGAGGCCCCGCCTTAAATCTTCCGCCAAAGATTTTCGAAATTGGTCCGTGCGCAAAGCATTGTGGGGATTTTAAGACCGCGGAGGATACACATGTGCAGCCTTGAAATTTCCTGCAACGAATTACGCCGGCCTCGGTAGAATTCCAAGGATCCTGGATATTTCAGAAAGTTTTGTCAATGGACAAATGGGAAGAACATCGGTTATACGTCACCACTTTGGTCACAAAGGTTGCCATGAAGCAAAAGAAAGAAAGTTGGTGAGGGATCCAGGCGCAGTTCATAATTTTCCTACCAACTGAAACTTCAGGATGGAAAGAATCTTAAAGTGTGCAAAACTTTTTTTCTTCTACACTTGGTATCCCTGAAAGAACCATTACACTGGCTGAACAAAGACACCATCGACCATGACGAACAAGTGGCAGACCCGCCAACTACATCTCCACCTAAGAGTGGCAAAAATGCAAAGCTGGAAACTGCTGTCACAGATTTCCTTAAGGACTGGTTATAGGATCTGCCCACTGTTGATTCGCACTACTGCCTACAAAGACAAGAAGTTCCTTCACCCAGGCACAACAATCTCCCAACTACATCGGGAATCTCAACAGGCAGCTACAACTGCTGAAGTTGACGCTCTGCCAATCAAGGCGAGGAGGTTTCAGGACCTTCCGTCCATGAAACATGTCATGCCCTTCGAGTGTCATCAGCTTTTTGACAATTTGCCACATAATTAGACACACACACACACACACACACACACACACACACACACACACACACACGCCAAGATGACTGAGAAAGGTTCAGGGGAGAAACTAATTTAAATGGAAAAGGGTTAGCTACAATGAAAAACACAGCAAAGAAGAGCTGGAGGGAGTAGTGAGGAGAGGCACATGCCTCCTCAGCATTTGATTTACTTGCCTTTTGTTTTATTTAGGTAAGAGTTATTTAAGTTGTACCTTTTGAGTTTGCTATATTGAATTAAAGGGCCAACCACGGCCAAACTGCCCTCTGTTTCCTGAGTCTCTGTATGCTCCTCTAGCATTTTAAACTGTTAGTGGCTGACCCAGCCCCATGGTCTGTCACAGTAATGCGGGAAAGAGAAGTGCACTGTTTTGCCTAAGTCACTTACTCCAGAAGTAATAAGGCCTAAGTCNGGTTCACCGTGTCGACATCGCAGCACGACCAGGCCCGAAGGATTCGATGCAACACGCGGAGCAGGCGCGAGGCTGCTTTAGCGCGTTGGTGCCGTTCCTCAGAGACACGCAAGGAGGCAGTTATACACATTGAATTCACTATCTTATAATATGTACTGAGATAGTCATCCGAAGAAAATGTGCCCGGAATATGGAAGCCTTTGACCTGCGTGGAGGCTATATACACACATACTGATAGAATGTTCTTTATACATGCACTGTTGAGCGAACCTGCGACCCAAGTTTTTTCATTCATCTGCATAAACTTCACATAGTTTGTATATGATATGTCAATAACCTTAGGCTGTTCCCGTCAACCAGTTTTTGGATAGTACTGCCGTCGGTTTTGTTCCAGTTCAAACAGCTGTTTTGATGCTCCGGGCGTAGAACTTGGTGGCCATGCCACTCACAACATCCAATCCCAGAGCTTGAAGATTTAATCACCCGGGGACTGTAGTCCCAAACGATAGCGGGGATTATGGGTAGTGTAGCTGGTCCTTCAGCTATCCTGGAACTCCGAAATGTTTTTCGAATTTCATGATCACATTAACACCATATCCAACCCAACGTACATTGCGGCTAAAACATCCAATCATCGAAGCTCCAAAAGTCCAAATAGGCTCAACGTCTGTTTCTGGTTCTTTTATATTTGAAATCAGTTCCTGACGCGTCGCCCAATAAACCCGAGCTTATGTATTGAACTAAACAAAAAAAAAAACATGGATAATTGTGTGTTATTGTTGAGTAAATAACTGTGTTATTTATAAAAGAATAACAAATTAGAAGGAAAAAAAGATTTCA